CGTTGCTGTGTTTTGACAGAATTTTCGACGCTTTCTCCTTTTCTATCAAAACATGGAGTCACCTGATGAATTCGAATAGTAATTAGAATAGATGAGGAAATTCCTGGTGTCTATTTTTAGACCATATAAGCTACTGATTAATCGATAATCTATTACACAGCGGTGAAGCGATAGCCTGCTTTAATGCTGTATTCGTTACCGCTTGGAAATATCGTGTTTCCCACTAGGAAATAGTAAATACCACACTTGTCGTGTTCGGGTGCACAAGTGGGAAAATCAACATGGCCCGCTGTCATTATCAATTCAAGGATTATTAATACCCCTATAATCACCATTTGTGAAATTTAAATCGCTAAAAGGAATATCAGTCCAAAGAAGGCTCAGTTCTGTACAGTATTTACAAAGATATGATGAATTGAAAATTTATCATCGTTCGGCATCTAATGCAAACGATAAAAACAAGCCAGTGTAAACCCTTAAATATTGGTCAATCCTTTGATGGGCCTCTTTTAAATCCAATTAAATTCAAGCTAGAAAATATCTACACATTCCGTTGATGGTCTATTTTGGTTTAGTTTGCTTAATTAAATGTTAAATAATCAATCTAAGAACAATTTATCGTACATTAAGCCGTGAAAAATTAGATAAAGTCTATTGTCGATTAGCGGCACGGTCAATTAGCTTAGCATATGCCTACTGGTAATATCTAATTAATTGTTACGGTATGTAGACATTTTAAATTCAAAGAAACGTATGGCGTTAATCCCGAAAAGACCTAGTTTGTGCCGATTGGGCGTTAAACCACAGTTACTGAAACATTTTTGTTGATATAGTCCGTACGGTCCTAAAACCTGAACTGTCGTAGATCTACGGTACAATAATCAATCTAAGAACAATTTATCGTACATTAAGCCGTGAAAATTAGATAAAGTCTATTGTCGATTAGCGGCACGGTCAATAAGCTTAGCATATGCCTACAGGTAATATCTACACTGTTAAAAATAAATGTAAAATTACAGTGAAAAATATGTAATTTATTTAACATAACGCGGTTAAAATACCACTGCATGTTTTTATACTTTAAATTTACTGTATTAGTGTGGTAACATGGGATTACCGTAAAAAATTGGTAAATTAACAATAAAATTGTAGTTTTACAAGTTAGAACTGTATTTTTATTACATGTAATCTGTAATAACACCACTGCATGTTTTTATACTATAATTTTACTGTATTAGTGAGGTAACATGGGATTACTGTAAAAGAAAATGGTAATTTAACAATACAAGTGTAGTTTTACAAGTTAGAACTGTATTTTTATTACATGTATCTGTATTGATACAGCTATGTTGGTTAAAAGTACATGTATGTTGTATTTTAACTGTTTATGGAGTAATTCTACTATTCAAACATGTTTAAATACGGGATATATTTGTGTACAATTTACAGGAAACGTATAATTGTACATCTCTTTAGAACTTTAACATTGATAGACCTTTGAAGGCTTTATTACTTTTCGTCTATAGTCCACTTATGAGGGGGTCACAAGGGCTAAGTGGGTAAGACGTTGGCTCGCTAGCCTGGAGGTTGGGTATTCGATCCCTGCATTCCCTCTTTGGCCACATGTAATATTACATCAAACGTAATATAGAAATACAACCATATGTCAGTTTACATTATGTGAGCTGTATATTAAAAGAAATGTCATTTGAAATAGTATTTTTACAACAAATTGTAAATTTAATGTCAAATGGTGTTCAAATCAGTTATTTCCCTTCGACCACATATCGAATTTTGTGCGAAATATTTACTGTTATGTCAGTAAGATTAGCCTATTTTAGAGAAATAGGTTATTTAAAATCTGAAGGCACCTAACTGGCGTATGAACACAGTTGTGCCATACATAGGGTTGTGTGGAACATTTTGTTTCGTGTCATGTCTCCTACACTTCCCATTGTAAGAAGCAGAACAGTAGGACGTTAAACGTCATTTTATTTAATTCTTTCCATTATCGAATGATGTTTTGCATGCTCGGCTGAAAGGTCCGCAAAACCTTTAAGTGTTTGCCAGGATCGAACCTAGGGCTACTTAGCCGAGTGGGGAAAAACACATTTCCTATAAAAATGTCACCTTTTCAAAGTATATTTCAAGTAAATATACACTTTAAATTGTATTTTAACCGTAAAATGACTGGCAGAAAGTTGCCAGTAAAATCGCTGTATTTTAACACTGGCTTGTAAATGTACCCCTAAGCGGTAGATTTATATTTACAAACACCACGTAAATTTATAATGAGTGTAAAATAACTCTGAGGTAAATTTACTACCACAGTGTAAATTTACTGTAGGTGTAAGATAACTTTGAGGTAAATTTACAACCACAGTGTAAATTTACAAGCACTATGTAAATTTACATCGAAGTTATTTTACACTCACTGTAAATTTACATGGTGTTTGTAAATCTAAATCTACCGCTTAGGTGTAAATTTACAAGTCAATGTTAAAATACAATCATTTTACTGGCAGAAAGTTGCCAGTAAATTTACGGTAAAAATACACAAAAATTATTTACAGTGTAATTAATTGTTACGGTATGTAGACATTTTAAATTCAAAGAAACGTAGGGCGTTAATCCCGAAAAGACCTAGTTTGTGCCGATTGGGCGTTAAACCACAGTTACTGAAACATTTTTGTTGATATAGTCCGTACGGTCCTAAAACCTGAACTGTCGTAGATCTACAGTACAATAACAAGTTAGTACAAAATGGAAAGCCGGGTATTTTTCTCGTTTTCTGTTTAATGTGTTTCTTGTCATTGTTCAGAAAATGTATCACAATATGTAAAATTCTATAAATCACGTATTCAGATCGATATGCACATCCACAACAAACATATAACTACAAAAATAGTAATTTACCGTTCAAAACGGTCAACTTTGTAACTTTGGCTGCCACCTTGTTACGTCATATGTCGTGAACTCGATATAATTTTAGCTACCCCAGTTCTCCAGTAGAAATCACGACTTTCGAACCAGTTTTTGTAGTTACGAACGCTATTTACCAATTCGTTAGTCGTATTTTCCATAAAACCGAGGAGTAACGAATACAACATAAGTTAACGAGCAGTATTGTTATGGCCAGAAATACGATTTCAAATTATTTAGTTGATTCTGTAATTTCAATCAACCAGCGTGTACGCGTAACATTTCGTTTCGCAATTTTGTCAGCTATGTAAGAGATTTGAAAGGGATTCGCATAAAAACACGGTATTTGTAGTGTCAATTTAATATATTATTTAGATGTTCATTGTTTTAATTTTATATGTATTATTGCAACATTGTCATCACGCTCCACACTCGTGAGTCATGGTATTGGACTGATGAGGTCTCCGCCAGGTCGGTTTCGCATGCTTATTTGACTGGTCGCTTGTCGTATCGCTATTGTTATTAGGTGTAGTCTGTTTAGTGAGTTAATTAAAATATCTAAACAATAGCGTTGACCTTGGAAGTAAAATACATTCCACTACAGTTTTTGTATTATACCATATTCATAGATTGCTACAGTTCTATGGTTAGATAAAGGTAATATTAGTAGTTGTCTCCCCTTAATCGTATTTCGTTTTAGTGGAGAATAATAGTACATGTATTATGTTTTGCTCTATGATTATTTATAGAAATGTTTTGTTATTTTGTTTGGTATTTTGACTTAGTAAAGCCATGATTGCATTATGTACTTTACTGTCAGCATTCATGAGCCTGTCCCTTGGCTTGAAAAGTTGATTACCTTGTGTAATGTTAACTACCAGTATTATTATCTTATTTCACACTTTTCATAATGATATTCTCATATTTACTCTAGTGTATTTGTGTATTTCAGTTAATCGTCTTACGTCTTACGTCATATGAACTACGATCTGTTTACAGTTATTAATCATCATTTCAACTTTAATAATAAGAATTATGTTAATCTACATATATTGTTTGTCATCATTTAACTTATGACAATAGACGCATTAGTGTTCTCGCCCCGCTGGCAGTATAATCTCCTACAGTATGATTAGATCTATATGATAAGGCCAAGTTCAAGTTTGGTCAAAGGTCACGAAATGTAAACGGGGCTAGCGCTAATCCCAACCCTAACCCTAACCCTAACCTAGACCTAACGCTTACCCTAACCTATAATCTCGCCAACAATCACGCGCCCTAACCTTATTAAGATCTCAGCGACCACGACGAAAATTGAACTGGCCTTAACAAATAGATCTGGCCCGAGCAGTATAGGTCTACGTGTGAAGTCACACCAAACTGCCTCATTAGCTGGCGCGTTGTTTGCATCGGATGTGTTTGACAGAGACAGGGAGAAATGGGGTTTAACGTCCACTCGACACAATACTGGCCATTTCAGGACTAACATATGGTTCATTTTTATTTCAATTATTCGCATGCGCGTAGTTGTCTTTAGCAGGTGGAAGCAACCGCAGGACCCGGAGAAAACCCACGAGGTTGGACAGGCGACCCTACTCCTTGTCACGTACAACCAGGAATCGAAACCACTCTACTTAACTCAATGACAGACCTTATGATACAACGCGCACGTGTTAAGCATTCGGTCACCCAGCAGTTTGAGTTACAATACCCCCCCCCCGCCTTCTTTTAATCCCAGTCTTGTACGTCACAATAAAAACGACCACCTGTCTAAACACGCGTGTTTTCTCCGCCTAATGCTAAACACCCCTGCACACAAAGAAATTATTAGAATAAAATTATAACATATAATGTTAGTCCCGAAAGCCCCCTCCCCCTCTCTCTCTCTCTGTGTCTCTCTCACTCTCTCTCTCCGCCCTCCCCCTCCCATAGCATGTTGCATGTGCCTTCTGCTTGTAAAAGACAGGCGATATATAGTTATACATGTATATATACGATATAGCTATACATGTTTATATACGGTACAACTAGGATACGAGTATACTAAAACGAAAGTAGGGTGGATATTTAATACGTTTGGGATTTCCCAATCATACGTGGCATAATACAACGGAAGACACCGCCCTCATTCATAGTTAGTATAGCAGGTTAAATCCGTCATTCAGGTAAGACCCAATATTGTCATGTTATATGAGTATTAAAAAAGAGGGAGATAAGGGGGGTGGGGGTTTACGTCCCAAAGGAAGACACTGACAACGTTATCTCGGGATTAACATATGGTTCAGTTTTATGTCAATAATTCGTTTGAGTAGTTTTCATGGACAGTTGAGCCTACTCCTTGTCACGTACAAGCGGGGAAAACAAACCACGGCAATTGACTTAATGACACAGCGTATGATTCAGCCACCCAACCTCCCCGGGTGTTAACCAGCTACCTACCCAACCTCCCTGGGTGCTAACCGGCCACCCAACCTTCCCGGGTGTTAACCAGCTACCTACTCCACCTCCCTGGGTGTTAACCGGCTACCTACCCAACCTCCGTGGGTGTTAACCGGCTACCTACCTAACCTCCCTGATATTTTGAATTAGGACTTAACGTCATATCTTTCTACCCCAATCACCAACCGGGATAATAAAGATACCATGCGCTATAACGGGGTCTATTATGTGGGACATTTGTCCTGGAATGTGGCGCTTCCACCTCAGTGTACATAAGACATCGGTATTTCGCTCCATCCAGGTGGCTAGGTGTTGTTCTTTGCCGGCACCTCCGTCTTTAGAAGAGGAAACCACGCTGGCAAATGTAGATTAAATTTCTCGTGGGATAGATATGGTGAATGCCATGACATTTAAAAGTGGAACGTGACGTTGTACAAACTTTATTCTACTTTCGTTTTCCCCATTATGAAAGTTATTTCTACGGAGTGTTGTGTATTGTGTTTCAATGTTTGCTATAAAGATTGGACGATTTGAACAGCCAATTTGTTTCACAAAGTATTACGAAAGTCTTCTAATATCTCTGTAAAAGATGTCTGCCTTCGACACATGATGTCATATCACGCGGCGTCAATCATTGGCCCAATGGCGCGTGCATTGTTTACATAAGACGTTACTGATTCAAGCAGAATGACGCCTTTTACTTATTTTAATATCCATTTACACTAAAATAGGAAATAATTTTTACCTGCAAATACTTCAAACGTCTTTAATTATTTTTCTAATACACAAAAAAAATATTTTAGAATTGAATTTGTCGGAGGAAAAAAGTTAATATTTAACTGGAGTTTAACGTCCACTCGACACAAGCTAGGTCATTGAAAATACCTGGGTAGCCTCTTTCATTCAGCAAAATATTCTACATTTGAGATTAACTAGACCATTGGCTAGATTATCCAGTCATTTACATTATCGTGAACATTGCCTGTTCAATATCAAACACTCTTAATGTGTTTATTGTAACATTTCTCACTTCAATGATCATATCTATGTTTTTTTTATTAATCCTAGTTCGCCATCACTATGAATTTAGCTAAAAAAAAATCTATTGCCCATGCGTAACCTGGAGTTTGTTTTTTATTTGGCTGATTATATTATCCAGTAAATTACGGTAAATGTTGACAACCGACCCAGACCCTCCGTACGTTGACGACTAGGTGGTTCTGGGCAACCGAGAATAATGCCTGAGTTAATTTTTTTTTAAAAATATATTTCATTTGAAAATGGATTGGAGAACAGGCTGGGCCTATGTTGACTCCTCTCCAGAATTTACAAAAATGAGTTTAATTTATGTGCATACAGAACATATATACAATATAAACATACAAAATATAAAATTATTTGAGATTTAAATATAAACTAAACATTTATACATATATACAGTTGACCGTACCAATGTAGTAATGAGTAAAATGTAATCTACTGATTTTAAGACGCTGTGCACGATTATAGTATTCCTTTTTCTGCTTCCAGGATGTCCATAACTAACTTTTTACCGGATCACAATGGTCGAGAGAATCTGGATACCTTTGTTTTAAGACGTCTTTATATTCCCAAGACTTTTAATAAACGTATCCACCGAGAAGTCAACAACGTTTTCCGCTATCTTCATGAATTTCCGGACTACCTGAAGACAGAGGGTTATAAGGGGTCATCCAAAAACTCCATCGATATGATCGTTAAGGTAATAAAAACAAGAGGTACTGGTAGAAATTGACCTGTTTATGGTTCCAATCTCCTTATCTTAGAGTTGTAAATACTGTACAGTACAATCACAATTTGATTGGGGTTGTAACGAACGGATTCAAAATTCGATCTTCTGACGAGGATGGTCATGAAATAAAGTCACGTGATCCATTCCTCAGGAATTGACCAGACATGAATTAGGGGCGTCGTCTATTAAAATGGTGTCACTGCCTTTGGGCAGGTCTAGCAAAGAAAAATGAAACGTCCTCACCACCACCTCGCACCTTTGAATAGTTTTACCGGATCATCGGAATGTTAAAATGTTATAGGTTCCGAAATGGCATTTATTAAACAATGATTTAACATTGAAGTCAACGGGAAGAGAAATACTATTCTGAAACCAGCTTTGATATGTTGAGTTATCTCCCCTGATATTGTGTTGGAAAATCCAAGATTATACCATGTTTATTGTAAGCGTGGGTAACATGGTCTACTTTAAGATATCGCCTAGACGTCATTCTCTGACGTTGGCTTATCATTATTTTAAATAATGAAGCTTACGGATAACGAGCCAGTCGTACTTAACTAGATTAAATATTTGACACCGGATATGAACATTTGGGTCTGTATTTTAAGTTGTTTAATGGTCCCGAGCCAGATATTGAAACAACGCTTGAAGGAACGTCATCATACAGTATCAATATAAACAAATTAAATCTGGTCTAGGTTATGCTTGTTTCATTTGTCGAGTTAAAACACTTCAGCGCCATTAAAAGAAAAGACAACAACAGGAGGCCTGTACTTGTCCAAGCGGTTTCTCCTTGTCAGTGGCACAAGAAGCAGGGAACGGTCGTTGGAATGGGACTACAGACAGAAACGGCCAGAAGAGCTTGGTGTGCACGTCACTGAGTTGTTTCTCCTTGTCAGTGATACAAGAAACGTCGCTTAGTCATTCGGATGGGACAGCAAACCGAGACCCATAGCACAGCTTGGCGTTCACGTACGAGAACCATACACGTTTGGAATTCGATGAAGGGTAGGCGGAAACCATGTGGTCCCGACAAAATTGCCCCGACAGCCCATCTTCATTATCCCGGTTAAACCCCCATTTCATTTCAATTCTAGGGCGGATCATTAGGGAAGTGTACGGCTGTACAGCGAACGTCTGATATGGATTTAGTCGTATTCTTTAATGGGTACGATAACATGGAGAAATTTATCAAGGAAAAAAAGAAAACGGGTGGTGTTCTGGATAAACTTTCAGATTACATGACTGGAAACCATGTATCTTCAAAGCACTGGAAGGAAGAATTCAGAACTAGGGATTTCCACATAAAACTGAAAATGGCTGACGGAGAAACCAAATATGATATCAAAGTGGACATTGTACCCGCTATACGAGTCATGGACCGACAAGGTATTTAATATCATTCGCAATCTGATTAAAATACACATCTATATTTCGTTTCGTTTTTTTTATACTTTCGATTGCCTACACTACATGAAGATCTGAAAAGATGTACCCGAAGGTCGTGTCAGGAGTGGTGCGAGCAGCTTTTGACCCTATGAAGTCAGACTTGGATAAATCAATCATGAGCATTGACGTTTCTAGTGGTTTACCGACCACAAGAAACGTCATGGCAACGTTGATTGATTAATCAATGTCTGACGTTATCGGGTCAAAAGTCGCTCATACGAACTCTGACGCGACCTTCCAGTACAACCGGTCAGATCTTCAATACTGTAGGCCATCGAAAGTATAAAAAACGAAACGAAATATAAAAGCTTTATTTTAATCAGATTGGTCGTAGCGCCGTTATCTGGGCTAAATGTCCCTCATAGCACAGTGTATGGAATATATATATATATATATATATATATATATATATATATATATATAGAAAAAAATAAAGGTTAAAAATGCCTAAAGAAAGTATATACTATTGTTTAATTGTCTACATGTTTCGCCTGAGCTTGTCAAGACATACAATAACAATAACAATGACGTGACGTCATGGAAGAATAAACATACAATAATATAATAATAATGAAGTAGAAAATATATAATATATATAGCCTAATATTGTAATTATTTTAAAATGTTTAATTTGGGTTTGAATTTGTCAATAAAATATTGTTCCTTCAATCTCATTTTCATGGGATCTGAATACGGCATCTTAAAGAAAGGGTATATTTTGAACTCGCCCTTACCGCAGATATCAAGGTGCTCACTTAAAGGGATCTTCCTTAAATTTGGTTCCCTGATATGTTGTCTATGAACCGTTACTCTGTTTTGTAACTTGTTCGTGCAGCCGATGTACAGTTCGGCACAGCCACTACATTTTATGACATATAATACATGAGTTACTTTACAGTTCATACTTTCATTGACAAAAAATTATTTTCCACTGTCAAATATAAATGATTATCCCCTTCCACATTTTACAACTTGGTTAATTGGACTGAATGATTCAAATTTAGCCCTAGTTAACAGTGATTTAAGGTTTTTAGGTTGTCTTTTTTACGGGATAAATGTTTGTGTATCAATAAGTTTTTTTAATTTTTTATCTTGTTGAAGTAGTGGAAAATGTGTTTTAATTACGCTGGAAAAATTAGGATTGTGAGGATTAAAGGTGGTGACAAATGCAATTATATTGTGATTTGCATCTTTTATCTTTAACTGCCTTAATTCCGTTATCGGTATTTTACTAGCCCTTTGAATTCCGTCATTAATTAATGTGGAGGGATATTTGCGGGCTAGCAGAAATTCTCTCAATTCCCGTAGTCTTTGAAATTTAGTTACTGTGTTAGACACAATGGTACAGATACGCCTGGCCAAATTATATGGTACAGCCGTTTTTATGTGTTTAGGGTGACACGAATTGAATTCGAGATACTGTTTAGTATCAGTATCTTTATAATATATATCAGATTCAATAATGTTCCCGTTTTTGATTACCATTATGTCTAGAAATGGTATTCTATCTGTACTAGTTTCCATTGTAAATTGGATATTCGGATGAATATTATTGATTATGTTATAAAATAAAAGGAGATTATCATATGATTGGAGCCAGATGAAGAAACAATCATATAAGTATCGTTGCCACTGTTTTTCGAAATATATTCTGGTCTCCAAGTCAAATGTTTCTTCTACTTTCGTAGCAATGGCTAATTCTAAATATCCAAGGACTAAAATTGCCAGCGAGGGTGAGAATTTACTACCCATTGCACAGCCAATAAGTTGTTTATAATAGTTAGAATCAAAACAAAAGCAGTTGTTTTCTAATATAAAGTCGATGCTTTCTAATATAAATGACTCCGAAAAACGTTCTTCTCTATCGTTTGGATATTTAGATAACCAGTGCTTTACAGCTGTTAATCCTAAAACATGTGGTATATTAGAATAAAGGTTTGTAACATCGAAAGTAACTAGGATAGCGTTTTGTGGGACATTTTGGGGTAAGTTATTCAAAAAATCTACGCTATCTCGAGTATAACTTTTAACATGTTTAATATAAGGTTGAAGTATGATGTCTATCAAATTGCTTAAACGATGAGTTTCACATGCTGGACCTGCTATAATTAATTGGTCGGAGTTTCAAATCTTGAGGATGATTCACTTCAATATATGTCGAATTTTGGTTTACACATGCTGTGTGTATTTCTTTACATTTGTGAATCTTGGGTAAACCATAAATATTACTGGTTTTCACATTAAACTCTTGTAAGTATTTGATTTCTTTCTCCGTTAAACAGGAACTGTGTGTCCATATCAGTCGACGTAGTGCGGTCATATTTCTGGATAGTGGCGGAGAGTTTAATTTTTGATAGTAGTTGTTCAATATGTCTAATACCATTCTTTTATAGTTCTCCGATTCCAAAATGACTGTTGCACCACCTTTATCTGCTTGTTTTATCACTATTGATTCATCTTTTGATAGAGTTAGTATCTCCTTCCAATGTTTTTTAGCTGTATTTTTATGTGATCGTTTGGTATTACCGGAAAATTTGATATTTGTTGACAAAAATCATCTAATGCTTTATTACGACCTTTTGGTGCTCCCCAATCACTTTTTAATGGTGGTGAAAATAACGATAAATCCATCGTAAGAAATAAAAGTGATTGGTTTAACTTCATACATCTATTGATACCTGGCTTCAATAACCGATTATGCTGCAGAAGGTAGGGCGTTAAATTGAATAGGCCTAGTGTGATGTTATCCGGGCTAAATGTCCCTCATAGCACAATGTATGGAATATATACATATATACCTGGCTTCATTAAACAATTTTGGTGAAGACAAGTAGGACGTTAAATCGAATAGGCCTAGAGTGTACAGGTCACAATTCTATGGAATGCTATTACTGCTTATTACTGAGCGACGTTTCGACTAGGCTTCTCTAGTCATTAAGAAGCAATGACCAGAGAAGCCCAGTCGAAACGTCGCTCAGTAATAGTATTCCATAGAATTGTGACCTGTATAATCCAGTTGAATTACTAAATGCCATTGAAACAAGGCCTAGATAAAATGTTTTTCGTTATATATCTTTTATAAAGGCTGTAATATGGACAAATTGTACACGCAAATGAGTCGACAGCTGCCAAATGTTCGTGAACATTACTCAGCCTGCCTTGTACAGAAACAGAGATCATTCACGAGAGCACAGGACTCAACCGTCAAGAGACTTATGAAACTCACCAAATACTGGAAACATGTAAGAAAAATGTAGTCTTTCACAGTTCCATATTCCATATTGAGAGAGAGAGGGAGAACGAGAGAGAGAGAGAGAGAGAGAGAGAGAGAGAGAGGGGGTGGGTGGGGGGTAACATCCACGCGCCATAAACTAGGCCACAAAATTATACAGCTTAAAACATCGGTTGAGACGTGTTCGATTGTATTAATCTCGAGGGTTCGACTTAGTATCTCGAGCACTCGAGATATTTTTTTTTGCGTGTCCTAAATCAGCCAACGTAGATTTGTCTTCCTGGGCCCTGTTTCTCGAAATTTTAACTAAAGGTTAAATCCAATTTTAGTTGATACTTCAATTTTGATTAGCTAAGCACTAAAATCAATCTAATATTATCCAATCAAATTACTAAAATTAAGATTTTTTCTTAGTTAAAACAGTCCCCTAGTGTTTATATGCTTTCCAAAAAGTTTGTTTAGCATCAAGGACCTTGTAGCGGAACTTCACGCGAGAAATTCTAGCTGCATACCTAGTTGGAAATAATCACACAATTTCCTTCCTAGATTTCTCTACGTTGGTTGGAATTGGTAAAGCTCAACAGTGTTGTTTTTGACGGTGGCTAAGTGGGAAAGACACTGGCTCGCTAGCCTGGAGGGCGGGTGTTCGATCCCTGCATTGACCGAGAAAGTTCATCCAGATTTTCCGGCGTGGTTCCCCCTTGTCAGTGATGCAGAACTGAGGGCAGTTGTCAAGTCGTTCGGATGGGACGGAAAAACGAGGTTCGGTGTACACATTGGTGTGCAAGTAAAAGATCCCTTGACAGTTGGAATTCGATATAAGAGTAGGCCGTAGTGCCGCTGTCTGGGCAAAATTTCCCTCATGGCACACTGTAAGGCGTATGCCCATTTCATTAGCCCAGTTCGGAGCAGAACATTTTCCTGTTTAACTTTAATACGGTATTGTTGTGTATATATTCCATGCTGTAAAGTTTTAATTTAACATATATGAAACATGATTTAAAAATGCAATTATCGTTTTAATTAGAATCTAAATTGTACATTTTTATAGGAGAATGACCTAGCTCTCAATTCGTACACGTGTGAACTGCTCTCTATAGATGCATGTAAAGAAGGTTGTCGTGATGTAACACGAGGCTTTAAAAATGTTTTGGAAAAGTTAAAGACCTATAACAACCTTAATGTAGAATTTTCCGAGTATTATAATCCAGACAAATGGTACGTACATATATATTCTTTATAGATATAATGCTCAAGTCGTGTATACATCATTAGTCTTAATAGATATAAGGCGCAAATCGTGCGCACATATATATTTTTTATAGATATAAGGCACAAATGGTACATATATATTCTTTATAGATATAAGGCACAAATGGTGCGTACATTATTAATCCTTATAGATATAAGGCGCAAATGGTGCGAACATAATTACTCTTTATAGATATAAGGCGCAAATGGTACATATATATTCTTTATAGATATAAGGCGCAAATGGTGCGTACATAATTAATCTTTATAGATATACAAATGGTGCGTACATAATTAATCTTTATAGATATACAAATGGTGCGAACATAATTAGTCTTTATAGATACAAGGTGCAAATGGTGCGTAAATAATTAGTCTTTATAGACATAAGGCGCAAATGATGCGTACATAATTAGTCTTTATGGATATAAGGCACGAATGGAACGTTGATGAAACATATTTATATTATAAGTATGCGGCGGGGTTTGGTTGGGTGTGTGTGTGGGGGCGGTAGCCAACGCATGCTCTGTCACTGAGTCAAGTGGTCTGGTTTCGATTCCCCGCGTGTACGTGACAGGAAGTACGGTCGCCTGTGCAACTTTGTGGGTTTTCTCCGGGGCTCCCGGTTTCCTTCCATTGCTAAAGATCCGTCGGCTAAAACGAAAATATTAGAATGAAAATATACTATCTGTTAGTCCCACAATGACCAGGATAGTTTCGAGCGGACGTTAAAACACTATAACATGGACATGTATATGAAACGATTTCTCTAAATACGATTATTGTATTGCCTGAAATCATGGCTCTACTCGCCAACTACACGTAGATACTGGGCGTTTGTATTTCAATAGTTCCACAAGACTTATGGGCTGCCGGGAAACTTTCACATATTAATTAGCTAAATTCATTGGTTAACTATATGCTGGTCGGAAACGCTAACACGCGAAGAAAATGTGTTAGTATTTAACCATGTACGTAATTTTATTGAAAAAAAAAAACCCGAATGATTTAAATTTTAAAAATTATCGGATTTTAAATATTTCAAATTTATGTTTACATGTATATATTAGTATGGGTTATGTGTACATATATATGTTATTTCCTTTTTATCTATTCCCTTTTTTTTCTTTTTTTTCCAACCTATTGTGATATTGTCTAATTTATTTGTAACCGGGGGAGGGGTTTATATAGGCTCATATAGGCTCTGCCTGTTCCCCAACAAATATTGTTTATTTAAAAAAAGAATTATAGCGAGAACTGTCAGCTCTTTATCTAAATCTTGCATTATGTCCCTTTAATTATAATATATTGCACGATCAGCGGTTTTAATTGTAGGATGCCCTATGTGCTGAAAATGGTACTCAACACGGTGAATGTGAACGCTTCAGTGGCTTGTCTCGAAGTGATTCCTGCCTATTCATGCACTCTCTTTGAGTCTATAAATAGCCATCGCACGTGAAATTCTCAACACATCTATCAACTATTACAGCCGTAAAAAATCGATTGTTGACGATTCTGAATAACAGTAATATCTAGCTTTTTGGTTACTACAGCAGCTTTAGAAATTACGTTCGTTTTATTTTTTAAATTACTTTATCAATAACTGTACGGTTAGGAGCGTCATCTTTTGGTTTAGTAGAAATAATATCTCTGAAATACTTGCGTTAGTCAAGAACATGATACTAGCAGTAGTTTCATTTTACTTTTACAAGGTTCTTAAAACATTAGTTGTTCAATTTCTTGTTCGCGCTTTCTGTCATGTTTCGTAAAAAAAGTAGTCTTCATTATCCCGGCCTGTCAATCAAAGGGTGAATTTCAAAACAAGGGCACATAACCTATTTTTTGCTCAAAAGTGCGTATATGGACGACACTCGGAACCATTTTTCAGTCTATTATTTATTGATGGTTAAATGGTCATAGCTTATTAAGTAAAATATGGCCGTTTATTTAGTGACTATAAATGTGTCAAGCAGATTTAAGGATTGGTATATATATATAAATATTGTGGTGTAATTGTCTAGATATTTGGAGATATTTATTTATGGTGGGGCACCCTATTAATTGCTATTTATATTTACTTTTATTTTAGGAGGAGTTATTTCCCAAAGGATGAACCTTACGTCATGGACCCAGCAAATCCCTTTATGAACACGTGCAAGCACGATCTAAAAGCTGGCCAAATCAGACACATTGAAGAATGTGCAACGGATACACTTAATGCTATAAAATAAAAGGGATTCGTTATAAATAGTAACCTATATAGGTTGGTTTGTAATGGCGAGGATATAATCTACATAGTCTGTAAAAAATTAGTGTTTTTGTTTTCTTTTTAAGGGGTGGGGCTATAGAAACTGGGTGGTCAATATAATTAGTGGTTTTGTGTTTAAAGTAGGAAGGGGGGAGCTAGAGTAACTAGGTGGTCTATATAATTAGTGGTTTTGTGTTTTAAGGGAGGGGCGTGGGAAAGAAACTATATATGTGTTCTATATAATTAGTGGTTTTGTTTTTAAGGGAGTATAGATGGGGACTTTAGATGCAACCGAACTATCTTTTCTTACGTCTGCGTCGTTACCGTTCATAACCATGTTACTTTGTTCATGACCATATTACTTTGTTCATAACTATAATAATTTGTTCATAACTATATTAATCTGTTCATAACTATATAATAATACTTTGTCCTTATCATATTTCTAGAAATATACAACCTATCCACAATGAAGCCAATTAATGTAAATATAAGCCCTGTCTTGTATCCTAGTATTCATAACGTCCAACTGTTACTGCACCGACGGGGTTAATGAAGACGGTCATACTCCATGCAGTGTGCCATGAGGAAAAGGTTTCCCGGACAGCGGCGTTCCTGCCCACTCTCTTCGTCGATTTGAACTGTCCAGGGTTCTTTTACTAACCCTAGCCCTGTACATGGGACTCCGGTTTTTCGTCCCAACCACGCTGCAAAATCCTGGGGAACTTTGTAGGCCGACACCGAGATCCAACCCGCCAGTTCCCGGTCAGCGATCTAAACTGTTTCAATATAGTAATACAAATTGTCATATTTTATTTTATTCACATAACAAACTATTTGGTTACATCATAACGTTGCTTGTTGTATATTTGAAATAAAGGGTTAAAAAGTATTAAAAGATTTTAAAGATACATTATGAGAGATTAGATAAAGAGGGTAGTTCTCACTATAATAGTTAAAAACTAGATAATGTAAAGGGAATTTGCTGAAAATTCCAGTCAAATTGATTCACTCTGAACCGAGATTTTTGCGACTGAAGTTTCGGCCTTGCCTCGATCATAATTACTAAAGTCGGTACGATAAAAAACATAGTCTCGATCATCCGTTTCATGATTAAATCATGAATGAAAGTTGAGCAGAAAATGGGATCCTGATCCAGTAAATATCACCGGTTAGCGTTGGCATCGAGAGTTGATTATGGTCTGGATAAGTTAATTAATGTCTTATTAATAATTAAGATTACATTTCAGGCCCAAAGAAAGAAGTGCAATTGGCAGATTTAGCTCTTGCAAAATGTATGTTTAATAATTTAGATAACATTTTAGGCCTAAAGAAAACCCTGCAATAGGCAGATTTAGCTCGTGCATAATGTATGTTTAAAGATATTCAAAATGGCGAACAGGTTTGTGTTTGTTATAATGTTTCAGAAAAAAGTGACAAAATTCGTCGACTCATATTATCTACACTAAAACGTGTGAGAAAAAAAATCACTTAGACCTAGATATAATCATATATATCAAATTTATATACCGTGTTTATAACAGTAAAAACAAGGAATATCCGTTACTATTGTATTATAGCCTAGATCATGTGACATGTAGGCTACCTATATAGATTATGTGATATTAACAGTAAAGGTCTGTTCACACTGGCCAACATTTGAAACACAACACCATGGTTACCAATACCCTGTATACAGTCGCCTGTCCAACGTCGTGGGTTTCCTCTGGGTTCTTTCACTGCTAAAAAAGACCTCTACGTGCAAGCGATTTATTGAAATAAAATTGAACCACATATTAGCCCAGAAACGATCTAGTCTCTCTCTTTCTCTCTATCCCTCTCTCTCTCTCTCCCTCTCTCCCTCTCAAAATATCGGTAACGTGTTGACCTGAGACCAAAACCACACTTTGACATGTTCGTCAACACACAGGATAAAAACAATGATCCCCAACACGATGCTGAAAGAATGGAAATACAATTCTTGGTGCGCGTGTTGATGCGAAGTTGGCGAACTTAAGTGTACACGCTGTTTTTTTTTTGTTGGTTTTTTTTGGGGGGGGGGGGGGGCTGTACGCAGACGAGGAAGATGCTAACGCAGACAATGAATGTCATTTGAATGTCATGTGATATATTTGTGATCGCTGACTGCTGCTGCGTGGGAAAACGTAGACGACAAACTGAGTTCCATATATTTAACACGATCGATTTCGCGAACATTTTTTTCGGAACATTTTTGTTCGTGTTTTCGCAGACGGCAAACAAATTGATGGGAACAATGGTTTGGTGAATTTTCGGCTAAAAAGTTCCATCGTGGGCGTTCGGCTTAAATAACCTTGATCTACATATAACTGGCTGTTATTTAATATTAATCACACCGAGCTCACCGTAAACAAGATGCCGTGGGGTTTAACGCCCACTCGACACAAACTAGGTCAATTATAAACTAACATATGGTTCAATTTTATTTCAATAATTCGCTTGCGCGTAGGTTCTTTTGAACGTGACTAGGAGTAGGATCGTTTGTCCAACCTCGTGGGTTTTCTCCGGATACTCTGGTATCCCCATGCTGCTAAAGGCCCAAAAAGGTGAACAATGTGTCACTCCCGAAATGACCTTCTCTCTCTCTCCCCCCCCCCTCCCGCTCCCTTCATGGAATACAAAATGTCCGATGTTTGGGCAGGAAATGCGAATGATTTTGTGAAACTGTCGCCCTGGTTATTAGCTCATGTTAGTGCAGAAAAAAGTATGCCGTTAACTTAATTATATTGTCAGCTGGATACCGTTATATATCCAGTTATAAAAGTAGTCCTGTTGAGAGGGAGTCGTGTATTTCTCCTGAACTTGAAAAAAATTCATTCATAAATCCAACTTGTCCAACGAACAACAGCGTATTTGTTTTTTATCGACCAATGGGAGAAGACTATAGTTTAAGAATGAAGTTAGTGTCGTTATGAATGGATAGATTTTATGAATGAACTGGTGTAAAGGTGTACGGTTCTAACGGAGTTGGGAAAACATTAAAATTCTGATTATATTAAACGATATGAAGTTGGTGTTAATTCATGCAAAAACACTATTAACTTTAGTTTCGTGTTACATATTTTCAGCAATTTCTCTACTCAAGTTATGAGTGGGGAAAGGGGTGGATGGCCGAATGGTTAGCACGTGCGTACTGTATCATAAGGCTTGTCATTGAGTCAACTGGTGTGGTTTCGAATCCCCGGTTGTACGTGACAAGGAGTAGGGTGGCCTGAACAACCTCGTCGGTTTTCTCCGGTTTCCTCCCACTGCTAAAGACCCCTACGCTCAAGCGAATTCTTGAAATAAAATTGAACCATGTGTTAGTCCCGAATTGACCTAGTTTGTGTCGAGTGGACGTTAAACCCCATTTCTCTCTCTCTCTCTCCTCTCTCTCTCTCTCCAAGTTGTGAGTCGTTGTGACGCAGTGAGTAAGACGTTTTCTCGCTAACATGGAGGTCCCATATTCGATCCCGGTTTTGCCGATAAAGTCAATTGGGTCAACGAATAGTCCCGTGTACACATTGGCGTGCACGTTTAAGAACCCGTGACAGTCGGAATTCGATATAAGAGTGGGCCATAGCGACACAATTGCTCTGATAGCACACTGTATACGTATGCCCGACTTCATTAGCAGAATCGGCGTAGAGAATTAGGACGTTTAACTCCATTAGATTTCTCCTCGTTTGGTCTTCCCTTTATTTCTCAGATTTGTTCTCGAAACGTTTGAATTTTCAATTTTTTTGAAGTGGCAGGTGATAAGTATGAAGGGGGCCTCGGTTTGTCGAAAAGGTGTTTCTTGTAGGCTTCCCCTCATGCACCTCTGGATAACCCCGAGGAACTTTCTCGACCAATGAAAGAGAGGGAGAGAGAGAGAGAGAGAGAGAGAGAGAGAGAGAGAGGGGGGAATTAACGTCCACTAGACACAAACTAGGTCATTTCGGGACTAACGTATGGTTCAATTTTATTTCAATAATTGGCTTTCGCGTAGGGATCTGTAGTCGTGGGAGGAAACGAGGTTGTTCAGGCGACCCTTCTCCTTGTTATGTACAACCGGGGATTATGTTAAGAGAACTTGTCGAGCTTACAAATGAAAAATACTGCACGTTATATCAGGTGTTCCAAAGAGGGTAAGAACACTCTGCTTTGTCCACGATACCCGTCACAAATAATTTACCGCTCGACTGTTACGGAATTTTACTGAAAGTCGTATGACGTATGTTGGGGCAAAGTTGTGCAAAATATTTAGAGACGTAAAAAGTAACCAAAAGTCGAGCCAAATTTAGGCATATTAACATATTGAAGGACAGTTATTCAACAAAACGGATAAATATAGCCACTGAATTGCGACAGAAAAAAGATATTTACAATAACATTCTGATAAATGTAGCCATTGAAGTGAGGCTAAATACAATGTTGGAATGCACTGAAATATCATTGGCACACGTGATCATATGACGTAATTCATAAAATTGTCCAATCCGAGTGGCAGGATGGTGACTATTTCTACGTCATTTCACTGAAGACCCGGAAAGTGTGAGTGAAACAGCCAATACACCTATGATGTCATTGACAATATTGTTTTCAGATTTGAAGTACTGATTTATATGATAATAATTTTAAAAAAAAAACAACAACATAACAAAACAAACACTGCATGCCAGGTTATCGGTTTATTTCTTGTATACAATTAGACTATTCAAATACAAAAACAAGCTGGTATTACATATTACATTCAAATACAAACCACATTTGATATTATTCAAATACATAAACAAGCTGATATCACATATTAGATCATTCAAATACAAACCACATTTGATATTATTCAAATACATAAACAAGCTGATATCACATATTAGATCATTCAAATACAAACCACATTTGATATTATTCAAATACATAAACAAGCTGATATCACATATTAGATCATTAAAATACAAACCACATTTGATATTATTTAAATACATAAACAAGCTGATATCACATATTAGATCATTAAAATACAAACCACATTTGATATTATTCAAATACATAAACAAGCTGATATCACATATTAGATCATTAAAATACAAACCACATTTGATATTATTCAAATACATAAACAAGCTGATATCACATATTAGATCATTAAAATACAAACCACATTTGATATTATTCAAATACATAAACAAGCTGATATCACATATTAGATCATTAAAATACAAACCACATTTGATATTATTCAAATACATAAACAAGCTGATATCACATATTAGATCATTCAAATACAAACCACATTTGATATTATTCAAATACAAAAACAAGCTGATATCACATTATTAGATCATTAAAGCGATAATTTCATATTTGCTCAGAAAGTCAAAACATAATTATTTATATGTCTTTTGCTCAATAGGTTGTCAACTCCTTATTATACGACCATAGATATTATTCTCCCACTTAAAAATCCTTTGACCCCGGAAATAATAACACAATTACCTCCCTTGTTTTTACTATTCACCCCCCCCATGGAATAGCTATCTTCAAACGTTTGAATTTGAAGTTGAAAATGATATTTTTGCCAATTTCTCAACTGGCAATAGTGAATTATAGGATTAATAAAATTATTCTTTAACAAGGTAGGACTGTTTATAGATACCATCTATTTTAAGGCTTTAGTTTAATTAATTTTAAAAATATAACTTAAAAATATGAAATTGCAACTTTAAAATACAAAAAACATTTGATATTAATAAAATACAAAAACAAGCTGATATCACATATTAGATCATTAAAATACAAAAACAAGCTGATATCACATATTAGATCATTCAAATACAAAAAAACAGTTGATATTATTCAAATACAAAAAAAACAGTTGATATTATTCAAATACATAAAACAAAATATGTCGGTCAATGTACATTATATTTCCGGTTCAACTCAATCTGATTAAAATACAGATCTATATTTCGTTTAGTTTTTTTATACTTTCGATGGCCTACACTACATGGCGATCTGACAAGTTATAGTGGGAGTTCACGTCAGGGGTAAAACGAGTGGCTTTTGGCCTTATGACGTCAGACATTGATTAATCAATCAGCGTTGACGTTTCTAGAGGATTACCCACAGTTCCGTGCATAAAAAGGTCAAGAACTCACGGTAACAGACCGTTTCATTGACTAATTCCTCACATCAACTAGAACGCCTGTTACATAACAACTCTTCCAGGTCCTAGCGTAGTAAAGACAGGTAAAACGAAATTTTGAACTATAAAAACAAAACGAAATATGATATGTGTTTTAATCAGATTTGGTTCAACTGGTCTGTTATCGGGTTCAATTTATATTGTATCGTTTAATCACCGGGCTTTATTAATTGACACTACACACGTACATGTACATTCATTACCA